GTGCAGAGGGGGGGGAGCTCTCTCGTCATCGCCTCCTGGCCCATCTTTATGCAGTCCTCCTCTGGAGGTAACCAATCCCCGTTCAGCTCCGGGTCTCGATCCTCCAATGACGGACGGCACCTGGAACTCATTTACATACTTAATCACCGCAACACACACTCATTCAYAACAATACGACGGCAGTCGTAACAATATATTTCTGCATTTATTTCCAATTATGTCAGGTTTGGTCCTCCATACTTCACCAGCTGCCTTTTCCAAACTGTAAACCTGAACAAAAGCTCTGAAGGTTTAACTTAGTGTTGAGAAGAAAACAGAAAACACCTGATTTCTGTTTAAACAGGTGCGTAATGAGATGGAGACCCTGGTGAGGGAGCATGGTGTGAACTCCTTCCAGATGTTCATGGCCTACAAAGACCTGATGATGCTTCGGGACTCAGAGCTCTATCAGACGCTGCAGACCTGCAAGGACATCGGAGCTATCGCACGAGTCCACGCTGAAAACGGAGAGCTGGTGGCAGAGGTGCTGAGAAAATTACAAACATCAGAAACTTTTCATCACTTATTTGTCTGTTAGAACAACTATAAACTCCTATAAACCAATAAATCATTAAATGAAGGAGAGTTTAATGAAACTGAACAATGGTTTTGTGATGTTTTTAGGGGGCTAAAGAGGCTCTGGAGCTGGGCATCAGTGGACCAGAGGGAATAGAGATCAGCCGACCAGAGGAGGTTAGAGTCACAATCACAAACTTCTTTCACTTTCATTACAAAAAACTCAACAAATATATTTGTTTTCATTGCTGCTGTTTGTCGACTGCAGCTGGAGGCTGAAGCCACTCACAGGGCCATCACCATCGCCAACCGGGTATCAAATAATCACATTTTACTGCTTAGTTTCTGAGCTCTTATTGATTCATAATTAACTAATGAGCTGTGTTTGTGATTTCAGGCCCGCTGCCCCATCTACCTGGTGAACGTGTCCAGTGTGTCTGCTGGAGACATGATCGCTGCAGCTAAGATGCAGGGTGAGTGCCTCGTCCAATAAGAACGTTCAGTAATTATAATCAGAATAAAAAGGTTGTCTCTGGCTGGTGTTGTCGGTACAGGTAAGGTGGTCCATGCAGAGACCACAGTGGCTCACGCTGTGCTGAACGGGATGCAGTATTACCACCAGGACTGGGCTCATGCTGCTGCTCACGTTATCGTCCCGCCTCTCCGCCTGGACCCCAACACCCCCAGCTACCTGATGGGCCTGCTGGCCAAGTGAGTCTGAGTTTACACTGTGCTGTTTGTGTACTGTTTACACTGTGCTGTTTGTGTACTGTTTACACTGTGCTGTTTGTGTACTGTTTACACTGTGCTGTTTGTGTACTGTTTACAC